TTCTGCGTACCCAGTTCTTCAGCAAGAGGCAATCTATGAGTTTCTGACTTTATGGGATTGTAACTGTTGTGATGGAGAGATCACGATTAAAACCTGATTTACAAATTTTTGCATCAAATTGATTCCCTCTCCCATCTTACAGCGTACGAACAGTCCAAGTGGAGACCAGTCGGTCGACGTGCCTTGACCCTGATTAGCGCTTATAAAAGTAGTCAATCGTCTCTCACCGCAGCTGTTGACGTTCACTAGACGAGTTTTACTTTTCTCTACGGACAAGTGAAGGCCTAGCTCAGAAAACTCGTTACTCTGTTCTTAATATTATAGGGTAGTAATGGCTTGGAAAAAGTTACCGCTACTTGTCTCTTTGATCCTTCAACCTTGACTCCGGCTTACCTATACCTTATATTTAGACTGATAATTGTTATATTTTGTTGTTTTCCAGGACGATTTCTTTCTGTTTTCAATATAAAGTCTTATCCGCACTGCATGTGGCTGCTTTGTTTACTTTGAAAACTCAGGCGATCAAGCCTCAAAATTTACGGGTCATCAGTGCCCAGAATAGGTGTCTCCTTTCAAAACCGCTCCGGAAGATTCCAGCTCCACAATCACATTCCTTTTTCATTGAATTATCGACCTGACGACGTCCTAAACTTATGCGCAGATCTCTATAAATTCGCATACTGTAAAAAATCTCAGATGAAAATTAACATCTTGGAAAACTGTTAGGAACACAACCAGGACTTATTTCAGGTAATAGATCAGCCGTCCGCTGAGGATGNTCTAGAAATCTTTTTGTCTCACTAAGAAGACTCCCTTTTCAAATATGTAGCTAACACCTGTCCGACTCCGTCGAGGTCAACGTCTGCAAGAATATATGGAATGCTGAATGACCTCGAAATAGCCGAGTTTTATTTGGATTAGGACATTAGTTCTCGTTTATCAACCATCCAATCCTGTTGCTTACGGAAATTTGAAATATCCTTCATAGTAATTGGGCCTTCGAGTAGCCATGGTTGTGTTCGTCTGCCATGCGAGCTTCCTGAGTATCACCGAGATGTTTCGTCACGGTTGTCCCCATCGGAGGCTAGGGTTCCATCGTTACACCGAACAGAATCCACTGTCACCACAGACGACAGTCGCTAGGTAATGATCCAGAAAGCTAGCGCTCCGTTCTTTTACCGGAAGATGGATCAGGGTCGAGGCTAGCGCGTTTTGAGTTTTTTCACCACCCTCTTTCTCGACTTTGTCGGGAACATGATTGTAGGACTATGATTCAGACACAAGTGTGTTTTATCAAATTAACTCACCTGTTGCCAATGTCAAGAAGTTAGTTCGATAATTCAAATAAAAGTAAGACTAGGCCGTTTCATTTGATTAACGACATAGATGTTACATTCTTTGGTATTTATGTATTTCTCAAGTAGCTGCAGTAGTGAAGGGGTTGCGTCTACCCGTGTTCCCAGGCGTTTCCGACACTGATAAGGCCGAGGCTTTCCCAAGCGTAACCTTCGTCTCCAGAAAGTGCAAAAGCGATCCTAACATTTTTATTGCAGTGACAAAGGCGAAAACTCTGAGCTACTTGTTATCGGGTTATATCAGCTCTGGGTTCCCGGTCACTGAAGCTTTCAATTGCAGAAGGAATGAGAAAAGGAAGGAAGTTTTTAAGCTTGAAAAAATAAGGCAGGAAAGAAAAAATGATATGAAACGACGACATCGTTCCGGCTTTTTTTTGCTGCCCTTTACAACGTACAGGATAGCCGTCGTCTGTGTGATGGTGATGTGTCATCACCAATTTGCTCCACTATCTCTTCTTATGGATGAAAAATTATTCACAAGCCTTTACAATCTCGTCTACCAGCTTAGACACTACAATCCTATGCTCGTTTGGTGAAGTATTAACTATCACTTCTTATCTAGTAAGATTCTGATTAACCGTATATCGCGCCGATTTTGTAACTTCAGCATTTTTTCACCCTCACTCTTTCCTAACCCTCTTCTGCATTCCTTTTTTGGAAATCTATACACAAACTCTGTTTTCGAAAATGTTGATTAGACATCGCGTCCACTCCGAAATTAGTGCTTGAATTAAAAGCTGTCAATTATTACGATATCTATGAATGATTGTTAAAAACGAAAGTATTTTTGTATATCTATCACTGAAAAAGTCTAGTCAGACGATCGACTGTCTCTCATTCCCATCTTAAAACTTATTAGCAAAAGAATCGCCATCCTTTTACGCCGGCTAGGCTGCTGGCGAGAGCATGACTGGTTATCCCGGACCTAGTTGACCTTGCTTAGTAGTTCTCTCGGATAAGTAGACAGCTTTCAGCATAACCATTCTAAATTTGGACGACTTTCTATTGCCGAGGCTTCAGAAATAAATTGAACCAAAATTGTGATAATTATGTTAACGCCCAAACATCAGGCGACTACAGGAACGTAACTCTCCAAAAATTGCCCCGAAAGCACAAGTACCCGTTCGTTTCGGTCGAGGTAGAGTTCTACCCACAACTCGTCGACTTTGTAAAATTATCCCTATTCTACTGTGAAGAAGCTCTTCTTTTAACAATGGCAGATCGATTGAAGTACTGGGATAATCTGTCGTAGTCCTCATGGAAGTATTGTTTCTGACTGCGATCTGCACTCGACGTCGGCCTATGAATGCATGTATTGATTGTAAGATCGGCTGTCTTAGACTTGTGAAGTGAACATAGCAAATTCAATTCTTCAGATGTGGCGACTCAGCTTCCTCATTATTCCGCTGTACAGTGCTGTGTTGCATGATACTTCGCGAACAGGTAATTCTATGAGTTTTGCATTGACTTGTAGAAAAAGTGTGCCGACGACATTAAAAATGCAATTTTCTCATGAAATTAGGTCACCCGGATCGATTGGATGGAACTATGAAACACAGTAACCATAATTAGTTCCGAAATCATTTTGCTACTTTCCCTTTTAAAAGCTATACAAATTTTGTGCAGCTCCCATAAGAAGAATGTACAGCTCCCATAAGACGAATATGACGGCCCACGAAGCGAAGTCTACTCTCTTGAGGTCTATTTTTTTGACGAAAGAGCAGGATCCTGCTTTTCTAAGGGTTATTGAAGCATGGAGGGGTTACATCCCACCTTTCCGAGGTGTTTCAGGGCCTGATAAAGCCTGATAAGGCCAAAACGTTACTCAAATGAAACCCTAATCTCCATGTGATTGACTCGCGGCAGCACCATCTCAATGAATGGCTACGATCTCAAGCAACTTGTATCTGGTTTAACTACAGCTCACATAAACATTTTCAATTTCGCCGAATTACGCTCATTTACTAGGCTAACCAGCTGTTAGAAGTATTCGGATTTTAATTTGTACCTATTTCAGTTGCAAGGCTGTGCACAACACCTGAATGCTCAGCAGGCACTGACTGTCTTCAATATAGGGGCGAAGGAAAATGCTACAACACAAGTAACTTCTTCGATATGTCCCTTTTGGTTATCCATGCACCGTTATCTACGTTAATTCCAGCATGTCCTATCAATGAAGTGTTTTCTTTATGCCCGTCAATGTGCGAACCGTCTTGCAATTCAACAGAAACGGTGAGAGATTATGAGTCTTACCTTTCCTATAAAAAATCTTGTTTAAAGGCTTTGAAAGTCGCTTTCGATCATTAATTTGGAGAATCACCGATAATAACTATTAAAATTGACAAATCGCTGATAGTGTTCACTCGGGGATGAAACCGAACTTGGTATACTGCGTGTAAAACATGGAAAGAGGCACGGACGTGCCAAGAGATCGAATCCCGAATCGGCCCCAGCTGAAACCAACTAAGCTTTCTATCAACCTAAGGGGTCGGGACATTAGTGCTAGGCTCTTTTGGGAGGATAAAAGCTCTGACTTGTGCGTCGGGTTGAACCACCTTACCTCATCGCATAGGCCACATTCGAAAACTCTCTACGACCCTCAGTGAAGTTCGAAAGCATGGCGCATCTTAGGAATGGGATTGATGGACGCCAAAGACTTTTCCCTTCACAGCCCTATGGAACATGGAGCAATAGTGACCAGATAACAAAAAGACAATAAGTGAAAGTGAAGACAGGCTGTTGAAGATTGTGGCTTGAACATCTCTCATTCGATTGTTCTGGTTATTCCTTCTGAAGTTTTTTTACCGCAGAACTGCGATCAAACATGCGGACCGCCAGCATGTGAGTGCCGTCCTGGATATGTACGCTACAGCGGTAAATGCGTTCCACCGGATTTGTGTCCTCAAGGCCTTCCCACTACAACTAACTGTGAGTGTACTTATATGCTCTTGTATAGTTCAATTTTTCTAGAGCTCCCAATGACCAATTTCTCATGATGGAATACGTACTGCAGTTAGTTTCTTTGGATTGTCCTTTGATAGGGCCAAACAAGATGACCTTTCGACAGATCTCCTCACCGTTAGTTTCCAGCCGGGAGGATTCCTCCGTTTGATCTGTTGAAGCTCTGAATTTTGATCTTTTTTTGATATGCTCACCTCTGAATCCATTTCCAGCACTTTAAAAAAAGGACAAACGAAATGGAAGGTGTTAGAGTGCCGAAGCGAAAAAAGTCTTCAGACAAAACGCTGCCGCAACAAGTTTTCTATCTAGTATGACCTGTTACAGCCAAACGCTTTGGCGAAACGATTTTGAGTGGCTAAGAGACATGGCGATCGGGTGAAAATGATTGTTGAAGTTGACCGTCACCATGCTGATTCAGCCTAATCGTTTAGACGATAAATTGCCTAATCGCAGGTTCAAAAAACACTGACATGACAGAGATTTTGACATGAACATAGTGATGATCGATGTGGCGCTCGACTATTTACTGCCATGACTTAATTTATTACCGTTTCTTTTGATTCCTTCACCCCCTTAACTGTAACCAGAGAATGTATTTCATAGCTTAACAAATTTATGCTATCTGCGGTCACTGTGGTCGAATGAGTGCCGAAGCGAAAAAAGTCTTCAGACAAAACGCTGCCGCAACAAGTTTTCTATCTAGTATGACCTGTTACAGCCAAACGCTTTGGCGAAACGATTTTGAGTGGCTAAGAGACATGGCGATCGGGTGAAAATGATTGTTGAAGTTGACCGTCACCATGCTGATTCAGCCTAATCGTTTAGACGATAAATTGCCTAATCGCAGGTTCAAAAAACACTGACATGACAGAGATTTTGACATGAACATAGTGATGATCGATGTGGCGCTCGACTATTTACTGCCATGACTTAATTTATTACCGTTTCTTTTGATTCCTTCACCCCCTTAACTGTAACCAGAGAATGTATTTCATAGCTTAACAAATTTATGCTATCTGCGGTCACTGCGGTCGAATTCAGAGTTAGGGACCTTGATCAGCATGAATTATACTGACCTTAACAAAAGCCGGTCAAGAGATCCCATGTGTTTGGTGCCTCGAAACCAGGTCACAACCATCGCGGCGACCCTTCTCTGACCCTGTCCCTCTTAGTCGTGATGTTGGAGAAAAACTGGAAAGGGGTTGAGCATACGGCAACATTGAGGACTTCTCAGCCCCCTCACGTGTAAATGAGACTGCGGGACAAAAGTTCCCAGTTGGAGGGTATGAAAGGAGTTTTCTGTCGGTCTAGGGTGGACGAAAACCTGCACTCACTATTTCTGGACACTGGGTAGATTAACTGAATGGCTGGAACCTTGCTTCCTCCTATACCTTCAGAATCGGTGTGATGAGCTACTGTAGTGAACAGAATAAGGCTGTACCGGACATCAACTCAAAATCGAAATTCAAAAAAGAAAAAGGAATATGTACATGTCGCAGTTCTGAGACAGTCATTACCTATATTTGTCGTTTAATTTGAGTGAATTCAGCAGCGCAACCAACATGTGCCGTCCTTGATATCGACTGCCTTCCTGGATTCCATTGTGAGGATACAGCTACTGGCATGAGATGCGCTCCCAATCAAGGTATATCACAAAAAATCACACAATATCCTATATGACCTAATTTGGACAACTAAACTACTAAAAACCCCAGAGTAAATACTGATAAAACTAAATTTTTAGATCGCAATCCATCTATTCCGCTGCAATCTCTTCTTTGCGATCGCTTATGCCTAGCTGGAAGCCATTGTGAAGTTGTGAAAGGAGAACCTGAATGTGTTCTAAATAAAAAGCTACCTTCATCAAAAACTACAGCAAGTCACCCTTGTGCTGAAGTGGTGTGCCCGCAAGGACAATACTGTGAACTCCTTGACGAAATCCCAAAGTGCGTTCCACTCCCAGGTAAGATCTCTCGATGATGAACAATTTCTAGGGATAGCTCTTCACGAAGGCCTTCTTCCTTCAAAAAATCAAATAGGCGGTTATAATCTATACAAATGGTATTCAATCAAAAACGACATGGGAAGGGAACGTTGCGACTAAAGGTTTAATCACAGTGTTTTCTGCACTCCGGAAGTATGACCCCTTTTTAGAGGGGACTAAGGATTACAATGGGAATAACCTTCAAAGAAGGTCTTTGCATTGAAATACTCGATCGATTTCCATAATTAGCATTAATAAATACCTATTGAGGTCCCTGCGCAGCAGTTTTCTGTGCCGCTGGCCGATGTATTGAATACGACAACACCTTTGGATGCTTCAATACAAGTCAGTTTATATCTCATTCAAAATGAATTTTTGAATTTCGCTGAATCCCCCGATGACAATTGGGCTACAGCCTTTCCAATGCTATGTTGACATATTCCGTATCTGTTTCCTTCTCCGGACACTCATAGACTTGCTACCTTCACTCCATTATAGGATGACGAAAGCCTTGCTACTTTGAACGCTACGTCTCCTGAAGTTGGGGTGATTTTCATTGTCCCACTTCCAGTGGCTTACGTTGTCATAATGAATGGCTACCAGTAGGCTTTCTGTGTCGGGCGTGGCATATAGAACTCGCAAAACTTCTCAAATTTTGATTTTGTCATTTTGAGCCACCAATTTAGTGCAGGCATCTTTCAATTTGACCAGAGAGGCTAGGTTTTTCACTCGTTTCACAATGAGCAACCACTTGGAGCTTCACCTGTCGTCAAATCCTCTTCAAGGCTGTTCGTAGAAGACTATGTGCTCGTATAAATTGTGAAATGTTTGTAAAACATTCATTCCAGCCTGCGGCCTGAACGAGGAGTTCAAAATCTGTGCTACTTGTGAGAAGACCTGCGATTCCGTAACGGTAAGCCAAACAAATTCTTTAATTAGCTTCAAAAGTCTGAAAGTCCTGCGTATCTGCGAAAAGGTTCCACTCCCACTATCACGATCGGCACGAACTTGACTTTGTCGAATGCTCGAAACCGCATAAGGCGTCTGTGATAAAACGTTTCTCGAATTTGCTATTATTGTTATTATCTGATCATCCTATTCTTCACGTCAAGGATTTCCTGACCATTAGAAGGATAATCTACCATATTAGTCCACTCATAAATACAATGGGTTATAATGGTTGCAATTTTAGAAGAAATGTGAGGATAAGTGCCATCCGCCGGCATGCCAATGTTTGAAAGGCTACATTCGACAAAATGGCGAGTGCATCAAAGGAGACAAGTGCGACACTTCACGGCAATACCGATACGGTCCAAAGAGATACACATAATGTTTATAGTGCTTAATTGTAATAATAATGAGATTGTTGTTTTGAAAAACTAAGTTATAAAGCCTGGTTGTATTACAATCACTACAGTCCCCTGACATTCAATTGAAATATACGAAAGGTGACCAAGAATTATNTAACTGCCTCCATACCATAGCTGTGAGCCTTCTGTTGTTCCCTGATGATTTTTCCCTTCAGAATAGTTAGATTTACAGAAAAATCGACGAATGTTTGCGATATGGTCGGAAGGGGAGTTTTCATGAGTCATTCAGCCTATTCCTAAAATGTACGCTCGCCTTTGACTTCCATTCAGAATCACAGAGGCGATCGAACTTATATGCAGTCCATGTAATGACTCGCGTAGGCTAGCCGATGTTCAAGTTAGTGCTTTCATCCTCCCACTAGTTCTGGCACCGAATAACTGGGGCCGGATGTTGGAAGACTTAGTTCTCTTGAGCCTGTACCTCTACTGGATTTGAACTCCGAGCCATGTGTGTGCGATAGCGCGCTATTTGCCACTACACTGCCTCCGTTTAGACGTCCTGATGAGTATAGTATGTATGAGATATCAGACATATTGAAAGCTTCATTAGAAAAAACAAATAATTTGGATGAAACTCAGAACCTATTATCAGTCTCGAACGAAGATCAAAGTTTTCGTTAATATTTAACATTTTTCTCAGATGCTTTCTTACTTATTGTATTTTTTGATATAAAACCTGCACATCTATCAATTATTGAAAACCTGGGGGTGGCTGTGGTGGTGCATTACCAGTGTCTACTTTTGCAATAAAGTCTCCAAATGGGTCTGCACTGGGGGCGTTTGCTGGCTCGATTGAAACCCTTTCCTTTGAATTGGTCATCTCTAGGGAACCCATTGGTTCCTTCGATTCTTCTATGGTTTTTTCTTTTGATCCAAGTTCTTTGGAATCTTCGAGTTTCTTCATCTTCGCCTCTTGTTCTTGTTTTTCCAATTCTAGGCCTGCCTGCCGTACACGTTCTTCCCATGTTCTTTCTAGTTTTTTCTGAAAAAGTGTGGTTTCCACCCAGAGCCACTCAAAGCGAAGCAAGGGCAGTTTTCAACTTACTTTGTACTGATGTTTACGAACTTTCCATAGTAATGTTGCCAAAACACTGACCAGAATGACCATCACAAAGGTTCCACCTATTATTAAAACCACCATAACTCTGCAAACACAGCTCGTTCAGAAAGCCATGCTCTGCTTCTTATTCACTCGGCAATGGTGAAGAACCCTTTTTCTAGTATCACAGCGCATTTTGAAGTCTTTGTGCTGTACTCAGTGGGACATCAATTTAGGAGTACAAAGTTTACCAAACACAATTACGAGTTACCCACACCAGCCCCTTTCTAAGCATCCGCGATTCTCTCGTTACGTTCTTTCTATTAGCAAAACAACCTGCTACGCTTGTTGATTATCTGAGAGCAGGACAACGTTTGTACTCCTCGCAGCCTCTTTTGACCCCTACTGTGGTTCTTAATTATAGCCCAAATAGTTTGTTCACAGGTATTACGTCGCCAACGCAGAAGAACTGGAATGTACATATTTCAGTAGGCTTCTGTCACTTATTTTTTCATTGAATCACCGTAGAAATTGAGCAGCTACGTTCCCACAGCTGACAATGTCGTCTAAATACTACAACATGGCAGGAGATCGTACATATCTGTTGACCAAAAAGTAACTCTCGAATTCTAAGTTTAGAAAAGAAGAAACTTACACAGGCACTCCTCCCGAGGCCTCCGTCGCTTGCCTTGTATACGCCTCCTGGAAACAGATCCCTTCACTCAGTGGGACTAATATTTGATTAGGAATTCTCGGCAAATCCTTACTAAGTTAGTGGACAGAAATCGCATTCGTGTTATATATCATCTGTAGAGGAGTACATCTCCCTACTGTTACCGTACCATTCAAC